GACAATGTAGGCTTTTCAGGAGCACATAATGTGTACAAAAGTCATGAATTGACTAGTAAACAGTTGACTTGAGCATTATAAATGGTCTTGAGGGGAGGATGTTGAGGAAATGGGAGACCTGAGGGGAGGTGGTGAGGGTTTCTGTAACAGTTGTTGGGAGATTAGGATTTGTTGAAACCTTAGGGGAGATACTTGACAATAGGCCTTTATTTGAAGTCTAACCCCGAACCACATAACTTCGTGTCTACATTCTCCTCTTTTGTCAGTCAATATTAAGCATCTTTGAGTCTGAGCATGGCTGAAGCGATAGTTCTGGTATTTTGGAGCAGCTGAATTCGATCATATGGGTTTGGAGATACAACATCAAGAGGTGAGGCTAGTGGTCCACGTTGACAAAGAAGTTAAAAAGGTCACCAACATTCTTCGAGCTGTTCAAGCTGTGCTAGTTGACACAGAGCAAATACAAGTCAGGGAGTCAACTGTGAGAGTTTGTTTAGATCAGCTCAAACACATATCCTTTGACATGGAAGATGCTTTAGAAGAATGGAATGCTACTGTGATGAAACTGCAAATGGAGGCAAGTCAAGAAAACGCTGTAGCCCCGAAGAGGGTATGTTTCTTATTTCCCTCTTTTGTTTAAGTCCTTGGTTTGGTGTTAAACAAGTTGTTTTATGTCGTGATATAGCACTTAAGATTAAGAAAATTTATGAGAACCTTGATGTTATTGTCAAAGAAAGAGATATGTATAATTTTAATGTTATAAGGAATGCTGAAAATCCGGGGCGAGTAGAAAGTACCTCTTTAATTGATGTGTCTGAGATATGTGGTCGAGGAGATGTGAATAATACTTTGGTGAGAAAGTTGTCATGTGAGAATTGTGAAGGCCTTCATGTTATCTCAATTTCAGGCATGGGAGGAATTGAGAACACAACTCTTGTTCAATTGGCTTATAATGATAATGAGGTCATTAGGAAAAAGATTATGGGTTTGTGTATCAGATCATTTTGATTAGTTTAAGATTGCTAAGGCGATCATTGAAGCCATTGTATGTCCTGTCCTTAATTTAGTTACACTGGAATCTCTTATGCAGTATATTTGTGAATCTATCACAGGAAAGATATTTCTTCTCCTCTTGGATGATGTGGACAAAATATTGTAATAAATGAGAACCACTATACCACTATCTTAAGAGCAGTCTCTGTGGAAGTAAGATTTTGATTACCACACTTAAAGACAGTTTCACGTATGAGGGAATCCATTGACACCATCAATGATAAGGAGTTAAAACGATGCTTCATCATAATCTTTCTGAAAGATTACAAAATAAAGAAAGATTATTTGATTAACTTATGGATGGCCGAAAGTTAATTTAAGGGAGAACAAAATAAAGAGATGGAGATAGTTGACGACTATTTTGACATTTTATCAACACGTTCTATCTTCCAAGAGTATGAGAAAGATCTTGAGAGTAATGTTATGAGACGTAAGATGCATGATATGGTTCATGATTTTGCCCATTATCTTAATATGGATGAATGTTTTATGTTAGAAGTCAATGTCGATGAAGAACCAGTCATTAACTCTTCTCATCTTGAAAAGCTTCGCCATGTATTATTAATGTTTGGCAAAGAGGCTTCATTTCCTTTCTCCATTTGTAGTTTTAGAAGGTTGAGTGGTCTCTTAATAAGTGCTAGTGATGATTGTTCATTAGTTAATGAATAATATCTTACCAAAGTTATTTGATGAATTGACATGTTTAAGGGCGTTAGATCTAAGTATATAGAGTTTATGATTAAAGAAATTCTGAAAGACATAAGGAAATTGATACATTAGAGGTACCTTAATTTATCTGGACTAAATATAGAAGAACTACCAGAAATATTATGTGAATTATACAATCTACAAACTCTAGACCTTACCTGGTGTTGTTCACTTAAAGAATTACCCCAAGGGATGGAAAAGTTAATAAACCTGAGGCATCTACTAAGTTATGGGAGTTATTCATTAAGGTACATGCACTTAGGAATCGAGAGGTTACCTTGTCTTCGAACATTAAAGGATTTTGTTTTGAGGGTTAGTGATCATGACAATAAAACAAGTTCTCTAGAATGTATGCGGTTTGAGCCTTTTCCATGAAGAGTCGCTGAAAGATTTCTTTAAGTTATTAATTCATTATTGGGTTTGTGCTTAGGAATAAGAATCCTTGTAATACTAGGTTTTAGTCTTTTAAACCTAGCATATCAACAAACTTTTCTCTTGTAATAAGTGATAACAAATAATCGGACAAATTATTTTTATTGTAAACGAGAGAGGTGAGGTGGTATTACAATAATATTGACTCAATTAGACGTAACTTGTTATTTGGGTGAACTAAGGTAAAATCGAGAGTATTTCTTCTTTCTCTTTACTATTTATGGTTTGTGTGTTTACTATTATTTTGGTTTTCATATCTCTCTGTTCGTTCAACAACATCTATCGAGAATTTAAAATAAGAGGATTGGGAAATTTGTTAGATGCGGGTGAGGCTAAGAGAATGGAACTTAAGAATAAAAATAACCTTAATTTGCATCTAAATTTTGATAAGCTTAAAGAAGGGGGAAGAAAGAATGGGGATGATGAATCACTTCTTGAAGCCTTAAAACGACCTCCAAAATAGAAAACTTAAAAATAAGAAACTATAGAGGCAACATGCTGTCATAAACCAAGCTGAGACAGTCGCGTCTTGGCTACTGCATAAATTGTAGGCAGTTGTCTCTTTTGGGAAAATTGTCTTCTCTTGAATCGCTCTGGATAGATAACATGCAGAAAGTGAAAAGGGTGGATAACAAATTTTGGGGATAGAAAATGATGGCACAATTTCACCAGTAATTGTTTTTCCGAGGTTGAAGTCTCTTAACAGTTGCTAGCATGTATGAATGGGAAGAATAGGATTACACCAGGGGAGAAGAAGATATTTTAATAATGCCGTGAGTTGCGAATTGTTGCCTCCCCCAAGCTGAAGGAGCTGCCAGATTACCTTCTTATTCAGAGGATAACCTTGAAGAAATTGTACATTAGTTCATGCACTATTCTATAAGAACTTTACCGAAAGGAGAGGACTGGTTTAAGATGTCTTATATTCCTTCTTTCAAAGTTTAATTTTGACTTTGTGCAAAGAGGTCCTTATTGAATTCTCAAACAACTATAGGTAACATCTTCTCATTGATTTAGCATAATAAAGCTTATCATTCAATGATAAGACTTAGCAATAATGCTTCATTTCCAATCTCTATTTTGTAATGTCAAGATTGCGTAGTCTCTTAATTAGACATGAAGATTCAATTAATGGTAGCAAATTTATTTGGCAAATTAACATCTTTAAGGGCATTACAATTACAAAGTGAATATTACTAAAGAGATTCCAAAAGAAATAATAAATATGAATTTAAGAGGACAAAATTTTTGAAAAACCTGAAACAATAGGTGAGTCATACGTTACAACATACAAATTTTAAACGTTGAATTTTGTATGAAATTAAAAGAATTACCTCAAGGAATGAGAAAATTAATAAAGTTGAGACATTTAATTAACTATGGGAGTGGATCACTAAGTTACATGCCAAAGACTAGATAAAATAAAATGGTTGTAAGTGGCAAAATTGATGATGATAATTACAAAGCATGTACACTTGAATGTTTGAAAGATTTGAGGAAGTACTTGAGGCTAAAGCAAGGGCCAATCATTCAATAGCAGAGATGCAGAAGCTTAATGTGCCAGACGTCTAATGGTAGTGCCTAGCTTCCCTCAGGCCTCAGGTATATTTATGTTTCTAGCTATCTCCCTCTTGCTTAATGTCTTTCTTGAAACTAAATTATAAAGTTATGCAACTACAAATTTTTATGTGACAATTAAAATCGATACTGTCATTTATCATCCACAATAATAGTTGCATTTTTGTGTCACAGAGAGCCTTTAGTATTAAGAGTTCAAGCAATGATCCATTTTTCAAGATACAAGAAACATCCAAGATATAGTATGAGCATACGGTCAAGCTGGGGAAATGTGATCAAGGGATGATTTTCAACATGCTGTCTCTTATACTTATTTTCTGTTTCTGGAAATATTGCATTGTGGTTTCTGGTTTTATGTCTTTTGGAAGGGACTTCAGTCTGAATAAGTAGTTGCTCTTTCATGTAAATTTTGAAGTTCCTTTCTGTGGTAGAAGATATAACTGTTTCTTTATTGTGTCATTTTTTTTTTTTCCTTTTGGTTACAAAAACGTTTTTTGTGGTGAGTTGTTGAATCGTTGCAGCCACTACTGCATAAAAACAATACACACTATTGAAAGAAAGAGTTCTTGACTAACTTGGTAACACTTGATTGGGAAGGGAAGAAAAAAGAATTCTGGAGAAAAAACTAAATAATGAACAGAAATGGGAAAAAATCATGTAGTTTATCCTTTAAAAGCACTAAATAAAGCTTAATTTAGCTGCTGGTAACAATAAAATCATGTTACGATTAATTTTTGCTTCTTTCAACAATATCATTATTCCTACTTTTTCTAATGAATACATATGTAATAAAATTTTGTAAAACAACACAAGAAAACATGACACACTTATCCTATTTTAAGATTTTCTTATCTCATTATTTATAATCTCTTAAATAATAATGACTAATCATAATTCTGTTTTATTAGCCTGGAGCTTGATTTGAACTCTTTTAAAGAGCACTAGAACCCCTCATGTTGGAAAAAGATCAAAAACTAGTTTGCAGCTTCTACTCTCATTTGCCTCCTCAATTGATAAAACTGACATTAAATCACACTCTGACACACTCATAAATCAATCATTTATTGCTACATATCTCTACTTTTTCCAATATCAGGACTTTGGCATCGTTTAAATTCAACCAGACTTTCAAACTACCTCTTTCTCAAAGCGAAAAGTATATTAGTTTGCGCACTTAGATTTAAGTTTAGCAGGACTTTAATTCACAACCTCTGAAGATTTAGAGGTAGTATGATGATTACACCACCCGGGAAATTGCTGTTACTTCTCTCTAACACTAACATTTCATGGATTTTTAGATGTTCTCTAGGAATAGCACAAGATGACATTTATTTTAATAAAGCCAATTCAAGAAAGATATACACAGAGCAGCTAAAGAGATACCTGAGAAAACTACTGTGTACAAGACATGAGAATAAGGCAGTAGCAGCCAACAAATAATGTGCATCGGCTCTGTAGCTTTCCTTTTTACAGCAGAGGCAGAAGCTCCACAAGAAGCAGCTCCCCATTGAATCTCAACCCAGCCGGCTCAGCAGGCTGAAGTAAACCATCCACCATTCCACCAAACACATACAAGTAACGCCCTGAATAATCTGCACAGGCTCGATGAAACGACCTGCAGTTGGGTTTATAACCCACTGTGTCCACCCTTTTCCACACTTTCGGTGAGTTCAACACAGCTTGCTCCAATCTAGAGGATGGTATTGCCTTAGTGTTCAGCGCCCAGAAGTCATTTTTCCGGTGCCTTAATGAATCTTCTCCTCCATGAATTAGTATCCAACCTCCCAATACAAGCGTAGCAGAATGACCAACTCGAGGGAGGGAAGATCCTTCAGGTACGTTCTGTAATTGGTAGTGTATTTGTACCCATTTAAATGAACCTTCAGACGCATCCAAGAACCAGAGATCACTGAGTACTTCATATACCGCTCCTCTCCCACCAAATAGAACCAACTGATTCCTCCCAGTGTAAGTCAATGTGTGTCCCGAACGGGCTGGAGGTGATGGAACAGTCATGACCTCGTGCCATGACCCAAAGCAAAAATTTTCAGATATTTCTAGAACCCATGTATCACCCAATCTGAGGCCATCAAACCCAATCCCTCCATGAACAACCATTTTCCTATTATCAATACAACATGCAGCATGGGCGCCACGTGGTGGTGGTGCAATAGACCCCACATCAAGCAACCTCCATGACAAGGTGATACTATGGTTCTCATGACATGCAACCTGCCCCACCCATGTATCATTGTGACGGTTACCACGGTCGTTTATTCCTCCAAAAAGAACAAGATAATCACCACTCACAACACATGAATGCCCAAATCTCCCACTAGGAATGCCCAAATTAACCTTTTGCCAATTCAACTTCTTTCGAAAATCATTACCAATGTATGCAACCCATGTATCATCGAGATGACGTCCTGAAGTGAAGAGAAATGCAACACAGAAGTATATTTATACATTACAAGAATTAGCTATTGCAAGTAAAAACAAACACAGGCATTGAGTTTACTATTCAAGAGATAATCCAGCTTTATTGGCAGTTTTAAGTTCTGTCACTTAATATTTGTGTCTACTCACTAATTATTTTCGCAAGTAATTGGCTGAAGGAGATTTAATGATCTGTTCACTGTAGCCCCAGTTGCTAAAGAATGCAATAAAGGCGTCTATATTCTATTAGAATCAATGTTGGATGTTTTGAAGTTAATCAAACAAGAAAACGCCAATGCTGGTATTACAAGATTTATTACTTTCTTCAGTCTGAATGATTCCCCCAATGATTTTTGTGTGGTATCAGTATTTAGTCACACAAAGTTTGACAAGAAACATTCTTAACATTTAAAATTGCAACAGTGGTAATTAAGAATATCTCTCCAAAACATCAAGGGATTATCAGTTATTATCTGAAGAAGTACAAGTGGTCATATTGTTATTGTGGAAATCATAACCAATCTAAGCAGTTAGGTTACAGTGCAAGGAGATGCCATAAATAATAGGAAGTCAATGCTCTTTTATAGAAGATCCATGCTATAAAATCAATCAAAGAATTCAGCATACATGAAAACAAACAATCCTTATTTTTCAAGTTGTAACAGATTAAGCAGCTTAAAATTCTTTTGTTGACTATTAGTCATGAAAAGAATATATAAAAAATAACAGACCTTTATCTAGGCTATAAAATTGTGCTTATGAAGTTCCTTGTTGTCGCACCATGCATAGTTTTAATCTAAGTTGATGATGTGAAACTAGTAAGCACTGAAGGGGCACATTGAAGGACCAGGGAATCTTTGTTGGAGTCGTCAAGTAAGATGCAAAATATATTAAGTATTTATGTTAAATTACAATGGCTAGAATCCAGTTCATTATCTAGTAGAGAGCAGCATTATAATCTATATATATAATTAAACAAAGACCGCCAAGTTGTATTTGCAAGGAGGAGAATCTCTATTGTAACTGCTCTCAAGACAATATGTTGCCAGCAGATTTCCCTCAATCCAAGCATGAGAGCATGAACACACTCTTGTATACAGTAGTATGGCTGCCTTTACACTCATGAAATAGAAATATATTTTTGAGGTTATCAGCTACAATTTTACAATTGGCAAGCTGTGATAGTTACAATAAGATGAACTAATCAGGATCTTTTAAGGTTATTAACAATACTTTTATCATTGGAAGTTGGGGGCAATAGTAATGAGACGAAAATGATATTTCACTAATCTCAAACTTATTAGACAAGCCTCTCTCCCCTCAATTCATTTCCTATGTTTTTTCTCATGTTTCCCTACAACAATGAAAGAGAACCTGTAGAAGCAGCACTCCTTTTTCCATATAGAAGAACCAGTTATTTATGAAAGTATTCTAACTATTGAGAAACCAAAACCTCCAATAAACAGTCACCCTCCACAATACACCTTTACACAATAATTCAACTAACTACCCACAAAATTGCCTCAATTTATGTTTCCCTATTGTCATCAAAGCCTAAGAAGCCTTGGTTCTAGCATAGGCAAAGGAAAAGGAAATCGCTTCACTACTTCTATTAAATGTCAGTGATGATAAATTATGTTGATACTTTAAATAATTACACTGAAACCATCCGAAGATCATTCCTAATTTTCTAATCTCCCCTCTTAGTTTAGATGCACTCTTTATGTCAATTCTATATAACTTTTTAAAATAGAAATGAAATTTCCATTATATGATTCAATTTGAGAATGTATATTGTCATTTTCTGTTTGTTTTTACCTTCTACCATTTCTTTGAGACAATACAAGATGACAAGTCTCTCCGAATGATCACCAAGCATAATCTATTAATCATGTATTGTTTTCGGCATTCAGATGTTTGGAATATCAGGCTGATTACAGTCCTTCTGCAATTCTTTTATCAATGTTGGTTTTTTCCCCTTAATTCTGTCTATTCACAGAATTCAGCATACAAAGGTAATTTACATCAAAATCTGATAGTTTAAGAGGCAATAACATCTATATTCGGAAGTTAATATACCAGTGCCAAAATGATCCCTATGCACAGCTAAAATGAAAAATCTTTTCCAAAAAAAAAAAATTCCCTTAACCCTTCAAATCCCTTCCATAAGACTCAGTGATTAAGAAACCAATCTGAAAGTCAAACCTTGGAGCTAACATAAACAAACATCATAAACACATTATACAACTATAACCCACCAAAAGAAACACAACTTAAAGCCAGAACTCATTCAACACCAACATAAACAAGATAAATCAAACCATAAAAAAGAAAACTTGTCATAAAAAAAAAAGCACTACTAACCTCCCTCACAGCCACCACCAAACAAGACCAAACAATTAGACACAAAGTTGAGAGAGTGAGAAGCTCTGGGGTTAGGCAAGGCCAAATCAACATCTGGGTCAGACAGTTTATGGCAAGAAACACACTCAAGATGAGACCCCTGCTTGTACAACCACATCCAAGGAACAATCGGACATGAAGACTTGAAGGCATTAACTGAACTCTCCCCCCAATCCCTTTTGCATAAAGACTCCCATAAAAAATCAGAGCTGGTGAGTGACCTGAACCTCTTGCAGCTCATGGCAAAAGAGAGGATTGATTCTATGGGAAGTCTGAGCAAGATTGAAAAGAGATGGTCTTGAGCTAGATTAACAAGTGGTGATCCATTTTTGTTGTTGGTGGTGGTGCTGGTTTCTGCCATGAAAGTAATGGTTTGTCAGAGCTTGGCAGGACTACTGGGATTTTTTTTAAGGGTAGAGTTATGGGGATGAGAGTGTGAGAGGCATGAGGGCTGTGTGTTGGGCACAATTAGAGAGTAGAGTGGGGGTTTGTTTGTTGGCATTGTTCATGGCCTTTTTCCTTTTTATTTTTATTTTTTTAACAAAAGGGAATTTTCCAAAATTAGCCATAACTTTTGGGCTTTGGACAAGAAGGGTAAGTTTTGAAAATCGTCTCACACGAATAGTCAGAAAATATATTTGTCACGAGAGTAACTTACCTTCGCATTTGTCAAAGTTTAGTTTCTCTTGTAATTATTTATAAAACATGGGGTAGAACTGTTTTTTTGTCAAGATAGGTATATTTTAAATAAGTTTTTATCTTCTTATTATTATAGCATGTTTAAATTTAAATTTGTATAATATTAAACTTACAAAGATTCTATATAAAGTCTTTTCTGCAAAGTATGATTGGATGAATTAATATAAAAAATCAACTTAATAAATACATATTAAATGACAATGAATGATATGTCAATGCAAGAGTATTGTCATGTCACTTTGTATAAATTTTTATAAGTATAGTATTACTCTTAGAGTCTGCTTGGGAGTATTTTTTTTTTTTCACTGGTTTTAGGAGGTTTTTAATTAGACTGGTTTTGAGGTATTTAAAAACCATTACTTGCCAGATTTTTTATAAACTAGTTTTGACTAGTTTAAAAACCCCCCAAAACCAATATAGTGTATTTTTGAGGGATTTATAAAACACCCCAAATGGGTTATTTTGGCTGGTTTAAAAATTTTATCTCAAAAAAACCCCTTTCCACTATTAATAATCTCTTTGCTACTAAAAAAGAGTCACATAATAGAAGAGCCAATCAGCCTCTTCGTTTGATTCTTCCTTCTCCAGCTTCTTCAATTCTCTCAACAAGGTTTGTTTCTCTCTTTCTCTCTCATTTTTTGTTTGGGTTTACCATGCCATGCTTAAATGAGGGAAGGATCCTTTGTTCTTCTTAATTGATTTGCCCTAAATTTGCAATAGGTTAGTCTATTAATCACATTTGAGATGAATTGCCGTTTGTTTGAAAGGTTATACTTCTTTTAAACTCGTATTATTTCATTCAATCTTCAACTTTTAGATGGCTGTTATAATGTTTTTGAATCTTTTATTTATAGAATAATACGTTAGAGTCAAATCATAAATCATGCTCTTCTTTTTATTTTTTTCAGTTTGTTTTGTGGAGCATGTGTGAGACTAAAACCCTTTTATTATTTGAGTTCTCTTTTTTGCATGCTTGTGCTGGCTCTGGCTGATATAAGTTGCCAATTAATCATATTTTTATTTAAAAATACTACACCAGATGCTAATCCAAGTTGATGATGACGAAACGTTTATGGAGAGAAACCCCCGAGCCTTCTACCATTTTCTATAATGCAATATGCTTCCAATTAAGACAAACAAAAAGCCAAAGCACCATTTACATTGAAATGATGATGTCCCTTTTAATAGACCTACAATTTTTAAAACCAACATTTTTTAAGGTTGTATTTAAGTTGGTTTTCACAATTAATTATTGATATTTTGCACCTTTTGTTAGGCTTTTGTTATGGGCATATATATAAATTTATCATTTTAAAAAATTGTCAGAACTACTGGAAAATAAACTCTCAAGCATAGGTTGGGTGTTTTAAAAACCGCTACGGTAGTTTACCCTCAAAACCGCTACGATAGTTTACCCTCAAAACTGCTATGATGGTTTACCCTCATAACCGCTACTATAAAACCTCCAAACAGACTCTTAAGTTTTTAAATAAAAATAGATTGAATTAAAATAAAAACTCCCCCGACCAACCACCGTTGTACCTACAACAAGTTGATCAACATGGCATAACATCATTATAATCACCTATCAACAATTTTTGCAATGTTGCCCATGATTTGGTGAAATCTGACGGCGTTGAGCCGCAACAATCTACATGTATCTCTTAATTTGAGTGAATTTGCTACGAACAAACCTTTCACATAGCAAAATTGCCCCTAGTCATTTTTTTGCACAAATAGTAACCAACATAAAAAGTTTTGAAAAACTATATATTCATCACCCTAGAGAGATAAGTGACTAAAAGACCTTAGAATTCATGTTAAGAGGCTAGAAACATGTTTTCGTAGGTTTAGATAATTTTACGTATGGTTAGATTTTTCAAAATTAATCATAAGTATGTAATCTGCATCATAGAAAATTTGCATTAGTGAATTCATTGTTATAGTATAGTGATGATCCGCATTCAAAAAATGGTGAAAAACCTATTCATTTCAGCTCATCTAAACTCATATTAGCAAACAAGGTAGATTAAATTAATGATAGAATTTTTTTGTCTAACTACAACATTCGGACTTAAGTTTAAATCCTTACAAAATCTCTAAACTCTAGTTAAATATTAGTTAGGTCTTGGTTATCTTAGGTGCTGGTGCTTCTAGCCTATAAATACTCCATTAGGTAGGGGTGTTCAAAAGAACCGGTTGGAACCGAAATCGGCAGGTACCCTGGGTTTGGTTCCGTGTAATAACCGTTTTCTATTCATATATTCGTAAAATATACATAATAAAATACATGTATAATAACATAAATAATTGGGCCCAAAATTTTCTTTTATTAAACATATACATTTTTTACAAAAAGTTAGTATCATGTACAAAACTATCAAAAACTATGTGGACAGTGTAGACATTTCTCCTCGCTTGCCGACGCCCATCCGACCGTGTCCTCATCTAGATCCTGCAAAAACATAGTAAAACAACGGGGTGAGCACAAATGATACTCAATAAGTAAATCCTCTACTCATTTATCCCTGTAACTCTATCTCTCCAATTCTTTCCTTACAATAATCTCAAATACTCTTTCTTTTATATTTCTTTCTATTTTCTCTTTCTTTTTCTTATAACTCTTTTCTACTAACTCTCTTTTGTAAGTCACGGCCCCCGCCTACCGGAGGCACGGCCGAGACTTGCTCCCGCTCTCCATGACTTTTACTCATTCTCAGCCGATCAGACTCAGTTATGCATGGATTCGGAACCTTTGGCCATATGAGTATATAATCTCTCTCTCAGGTACTCTCGGGTATAGCTCTCATCCGCATGTACTCTCACAGGCTACACCACGTCTCGCTCTCATACTCATGTCGCTCTCTCAATGCGGCGTACATGTGGGAATACTCTACCCATTACTCACGGGTTCCCGCATAACCTACTCTACTCTCTTTTCTCTTTTCTTTTAGAGAAGCTCACACTCAAAGTACTCTACTCTTTTTCTACTCTTTCTCTAATGCATAATTAATGCATATGGATGATTCATGCTCATTAATGCACTCATGAAATGCAATTATGCCATGTAGCAATAATTAAGGTTCTCTGCTCTTACTCATGCTTTTCTCAAGCATTTCATCATACAACTCTTGTGCATATAAAACTTTACTTTAACTATAATTCTTCTCCTCTCTTTAATCACCCACAAATGGGAGAAACTCCCTCATACTCTTTAAATTCCTGTCAAGTAAACTCACTCCCATAGGGTTTGCTCAAAACTCTCTCCAATTTCTATCAACTCAACTCAACATCATGAAGCTCAACACTTTTCATACTCAAACATATTCAATAATCATAAATAACTACTCATCTCATCTCATCTCAATTTCTCAACAAATATAATTCATACACATACATACACAAATCTCTACTCAAATGAATTCTTAAATCTCAACTTAGGTGGATTTACTTACCTTGTGAGTAGGTGACTTCTCTAGCACTTCTCCTTCCCTTTTGTAGCTTGTCCTCTCTCTACAACTTTAAACAATAACAACAACAATATAAGACTTCAACACAACTATAAGCAAATTTACATCTAACGCAAGAATCCTTACCTTAGGATGCTTTAGATGAAATCTCTACTAAAAACTACCCAAAAGCTCCCTAAAACTCCTTAGAAATCTTGGAAGATTGAGTGGAGGATTGAAAGAAAATAGAGAATGAGAATGGCGGTGGAAATGGGTGAAATGAAGGGTTTACTACACTTAATCCCTTGTTAGCTCAATTTACATACAAGCATTCCCATTTTGCCCTTGCTATTTCTTAGAAATTCCATCCTTGTCCTTTAATTCCTTACAATTACACCCCCCAACTCCAACACATTCTCCATAAAATTTTCTTACATTTCACTCCCCACTTTTCCTACTAATTAGGGGTAGAAAGGTCATTGTACCCCTATGGAGAATTCTCTAGAAACCTCAAGAAACTTTTCTGCCGTCCTGTCGCCGCGGCGAAGAAAGTTCCGTCACCTCGACGAAAAATTACAGAGCCGACGTCACTGCGGCGAAGACTGTAATTCCAAAATTCGCCAAGTCTCAACAAAATTCAAGGCAAACACTCAACCAAACCAACTCATTAGACCAACCAAGGGCCAACCAACCAAAAAATAACAACATACAAGCTCAATTGAGAACAAATCAATGAACATTCTAACAATGCAACTAAATTTAACTACGTACCTCAAGTGGGGCGTTACATTCCGGTTCTTATCCAGAACCTATCATCAATGGGTAGGTTCTGGTTCCAAATTTTTGGAACCGTTATTGTGCGGTTCTGGTTTCGGTTCCTATAGTTAGGAACCAGAACTAGAACCAAGAACCAAGAACCGAGACTAATATAAAATAAAATTAAAGATTAGGGGGGTTAATAAAAACTTTTATAGAAAAAGTAATGTGAATACATTTATATTTATATTTCATAACATTTAAAGTAAGTTGATTTGACTTTTGAGAATCTACTTTTACAAAGTAATGGAGTTTGTAATTTTGAATTTATAATTTGTAATTTTATTTTTGTTAACAAGTGCCAGAGGGGGTATTTGTAAGTTTTTAAGGGTTTTTTTGCCATTTTAAAAACTTTTGGGGGGTCATGAATTTTATAGGGTATCCAGAACCTGAACTGAAACCGTTGTTACAGGTTCTGGTTTTGGGTACCTAGGAACTGGAACCTTAGGTTCTGGTTCTGGTTCCAAATTTCAAGGAACCGTCGATTCTGGTTCCTTCAAAAAGTGCAGGGTACCTGGAACCGGA